CTGAGCCGAAAATCTTTTGTGCCATTGGAATTTTGGTTTAAATTGTTTAAACTGTGGGGGTACCTGGGTGGCTCAGTTGTTAAGCATCTGCCTTTGGCTCAGGTCATGATCCCAGGGTCCTGGGATTGAGCCCCTCATCGGGCTCCCTGCTTGGCAGGAAGCCTGCTTTTCCCTCTCCCACTCCCCCTGCTTGTGTTCCCTCTCTCGCTGTGTCTCTCTCTGTCAGATAAATAAATACAATCTTAAAAAAAAAATGTGTTTAAACTGTGAATGCCTCTTTAAAACCGGGGTTTTCCAGGGGCATCTGGCTGGCTTAGTTGGTAGAACATGTGACTCTTGATCTCGGGGTTGTGAATTCGAGCCCATGTTGGATGTAGAGATTACTCAAAAATATAAAAATCTTTATTTTTATTTTTTTATTTTTTTAAAGATTTTTTATTTATTTATTTGACAGAAAGATAGAAGCACTAGTAGGCAGAGAGGCAGGCAGAGGGAGAAGCAGGCTCCCCACGGAGCAGGGAGCCGGATGTGAGGCTTGATCCCAGGATTCTGGGATCATGACCTGAGCCGAAGGCAGCCGCTTAACTCACTGAGCCACCCAGGCGCCCCTATTTTTATTTTTTTAAGATTTTGCTCTAGGGGCGCCTGGGTGGCTCAGTCGTTAAGCTTCTGCCTTAGGCTCAGGTCAAGATCCCAGGGTCCTGGGATCGAGCCCCGCATCGGGCTCCCTGCTCCGCAGGAAGCCTGCTTCTCCCTCTCCCACTCCCCCTGCTTGTGTTCCTACTCTCGCTGTCTCTCCGTCAAATAAATGAAAATTTTTTTTTTTTAAGATTTCATTTATTTATTTGAGAGAGAGAGAGTGAGAGACAGAGAGCACGAGAGGGAAGAGGGTCAGGGGAGGGAGAAGCAGACACCCCGCCGAGCGGGGAGCCCGATGCGGGACTCGACCCTGGGACTCCAGGATCATGACCTGAGCTGAAGGCAGTTGCTTAACCAACTGAGCCACCCAGGTGCCCAAATAAATGAAAAATTTTAAAAAAATCTAAAAAAAAAGTTTTTTTAAAAGATTTTACTCTATCCATTTGATAGAGAGAGAGAAAGAGAGCATAAGCAGGGGGAGCAGCAGGTAGAGGAAGAGGGAGAAGCAGGCTCCCCGTGGACAGGGAGCCCAACGTGGGGCTCGATCCCAGGACCCCAGGATCACGACTCGAGCTGAAGGCAGACGCCCAACCAACTGAGACACCCAGGTGCCCCAGTAAAAATCTTTAAAAAAAAAATTAAAGAAAGGGGCGCCTGGATGGCTCACTCAGTTAAGCGTCCAACTCTTGATCTCAGCTCAGGTCTTGATCTCAGGATTGTGAGTTCAAGCCCTGTGTTGGGCTCCACACTGGGTGTGGAGCCTACTTAAAAAGATAAATAAGTAAAATAGGGGCTCCTGGGTGGCTCAGTCAGTTTGTTGTCCAACTCTTGGTTTCGGCTCAGGTTGTGATCTCTGGGTCATGGGGCTCCACGCTCAAGGTGGAGTCTACTTGAGATTCTCCCTCCCTCCTTTCCCCTGTGCCCCTCTCCCCGGTCACGCGCACGCTCGCTCTCTCTCTCAAATAAATAAATAAATAAATAAATAAATAAAATCTTAAACAAAAAAATTAAATAAATAGTAATAAATAAAACCGTGGTTTCCAAAGTGTGCTGCTCCAGACCAGCAGCATCTGCATCCCCTGAGAACTTTGTTAGAAATGCAAATTTCCAGGCTTCACCTCAAACCTACTCAATACAAACTTCTGGGGTGGAGCCTCACAATCCAAGCTTTCCAGGTGATTCTGATATATGTTCAAGTTTCAGAACTACTGATTGAAAAACTATCAAAGCAGTGCTTGCTTCCTGGTGTTCAGTTTTGGGGAAGGAGACTATTGAGAGCATCTCCTCTTTAGCCTCTGAACAGGGGGGCTCAGCAGGGAGAGGAGGCCTCTTGGAGAAATGAGGTTTGAGTGAGATCTACAGGGTGAGTAGGGTTTGGCTAGACGACAGTGGGGAAGAGTGTGCCGCAAGAAGCATGTTCCCCTGGGGGAGCCGCCCATGTGAGGTAGCAGGGTTGAAGGCCATAGGGCTGGAGTTCTGTGCTAGGGCGTTGTGAATGTCCATCCACCCTGGTACATGGACGTTCTATCAGCAGATGTCTCCTGCTTCATGCAAATCCGGAAGCTTTCCTGGTTCTCGGAATACTGGGCAGTCGGGGCTGTGGGAATGAGTTCTGCACTAGGACAGAGCACTTGGTCCAGAGCACCCAGTCTCCCACTTGCCCCCATGTAACCGCGGGCCAGTCACTTCTTTCTTCTGAGCCTCGGTGTCCTCATCTGGGCAACAGGAACAAAAGTGCTTTCCAGGAAGGGCAGCCATGAGGAGGGAATGAGATCATGGCAACCCGGCCCTGGGGGCCATTCCCTCCTAATCCCTGAGCAACAACAGCCATTGTGGACTGAGCACTTCCAGCCATTCTCTGAGACATGTCATCATTCCTGTGTTTCAGGCTCAGAGAGGGTAGCTTCGGTCATAGCATCCCCCCCCCCCCCCCCCCCCCCCCCCCGCCACACACACACACACACACATTGTGGACAACCTGATCTTCCCTCCCAGGTGCTGATTCCCTCCCAGCATCCTCCTGTTCCCTGGCTTGCACTTTCCAGATTGGGGCCGCTATCTGTTGCTCCCACCAGAGCCCTGACTAATACACACACACAGCCAGTGAGTGGCCGAGTCTAGAGGTGACCCAGGGCTTTTTCTGCAAGCTCCCAAGGCCAGTATCACTGGCTAGGAGGCCACTCAGAACTCTAGCAGACTGAGGGGACAAGGCTCCAGATGCTGCCATGCTGTTCAGAGAGGCTTGGGGGAGGGGAGATGGAGCAGGAAAGCTTGCATGGGGAATTAGCAGCATCTGTCTCATTCTGACTTGGGATGTCAGGAATGTGGCAAGCGTGTGCCTGCCAGGGATGCTGGCAGGGAGGGGGCACAGGGTGGGTAACTGAGCTCCTCCTGGCCCCTGAGACCAACCAGGCACCATCTGCCCCTGTCACTCTGAGTGACCTGACTCTGGTCTCCAATGTGCATAGGACCTGCCGGGAACCTGGACTTGGGGGAACTGGGAGAGGGTCAACTCAGCTCCTTCCTTAGTCCCCCATCCTTGTGACCTTGGGCCTGTCACATTCCATTTCTCCGTCATTAAATTGGGGAGACTGATCTTTGTCTGGTGAGGCTGTGGTGAGACACAGTAGCGGGTGGCTGAGCCTAGCTCCACAGTGGGCTCACAATGGGAAAGTGGAGAAATGGGAGTTCTCATTCGTCATCCCCTGTCCTTATACACTACTCTAGCCTCCCAACCCTTTCCTCCCCCAGGTGGATTCTGGGACCTGCCTGTCCTGTGATTGACTGGGTTGGGCACAGTGACCTCCAGTGGGAGACTAGGTTTGGGAGGGGGGCTCAGTCAGAAGGAGAGTGCATAGGTGGGGGTGTGAAGAGACCCAGAGCAAGAAGAGAAGCGTGGCCGTGAGCTGCTGCTCAGTCTGCCAGGACAGCCCACACCCTCTTAGATCCGGGCCCTTCTGACCCTATATGTATTTTCAGCTGCCACCCTCTGGGAGGCCATGGGACAATCCAGGTGGCCCTCACAAAGGGTCTGTCCTGTCCCAGGAGAGGACAGGCCAGGAGCGAGCACCAGGCGCTGGGTCAGGTACCTCCACCCTATGGTTCAGGAGCTGGAGAGCAGCGGTAACTGGCTGGATGGCCCCCAGGGAAGGTTCCAGGCTCAGAGCCCTGGGAAGCTGATCTCCCTGCTCCCCCCAGAGGGTGTTTGAGAACAGGGCCATGGCGGCCTCTCAAACAGAGGACCAGGCAGGCAGGGACAGCTGCAGCCTAGCTGGGCGGCAACCAGCTGCTGCCCGGGAGACTGGCCAGGGTGGGGCGGGGCGGGCACAGCCCCCACAAGCCCCCAGTCTGAGCAGCAGAGCGTGGGAGCGGGCAGCAGCCTCGAAGCTGGGTTTCAGGCTTTCACGCTGTGTTAACGGTCAGCTTGGTTAATGCTGAGCAGATGGGGGAGGGGTGCTGCCAGCTCCCTTGGGGACAGTCCCAGGGCAGGCACATGCACATGCATGTGCAGAGGGTACAAGAGTTCCACCCAGCGGATAGGGGTGCCGTGTGGACTCCTCTGCCATTAGCGCTCATTCAGACCATCACGTACACAAGATGGTGCTGGTAAGACAGACCAAGACAGAGGTGCACACAGGTTCCTGGGGGCACCCTGGGGTAGCTGTAGGTGGATGCAAGCCGGAGGCCCGGCACAGAGCCCTCTGTTTGTATCACTCAAGCAAAACTCCCAGCTTGGGGATCCCTCCACCCTGTTTCCCCTCCATCCACTGCAGGGAACACACCAGGAACACAGAGGTTTATTTCAAAAAATAATTTATAAAAGGCCATTTGCTTCTGTGTTTTCGGCAGGCTTCCAGCTGCTCAGCTAGGAGCACAGGGACTGATGCTCTTTCCACCAAGATGCCAGGACAAGCAGCAAAGGGGAGGCAGGGGAGACCAGGGGAAATGGGGTTCAGAGGCCCAAGACTTCCCTGGGTACAAGGAAGCAAGGAGGTTTAGGACAGTTCTACAGCTAGGTCCAGCCAAACCCCTGGATCAAGGACTGAGTGCCAAGGCCGAGGAGGCCAGGCAGAACCCTAACAATCAGGCCATCAGAACACTGGGGCCATGACTGCAAAGGCAGGGGCAGGGCCTTAAGACTGGGCGTGCAGCCTGGCCTGGGAATCCGAGGCCAGAGCAGGAAGCCTCATCTAGGGACCCCAGGAACAAGAACGGACCTCCCCAAAGCAGAACTAGAGCTCTGGGACAGTACCCTGAAGTTGGGGCCTGAGGCTGCCGAAGTCAAGCGCTGCCAGGTTGCAGCTAAGCCGGGGCGGTTGAAGGCCACCGGCCTGCCTGGCTACCCAACCTTGTGCCCCAGCTCATGTCTGTGCCGCAGGGAAGGAGAAGGCGCGGGGCCCCAGGGGCAGGGGGTCGTGGCAGAAGACAGAGTCGATGGAGGAGCAGATGCTGCTGGCATCCCCACCGGTGGGGGCGTAGGGTCCAAAGGTCAGGCGGAGGTCTAGGTACTACGGGGAACAGCGCCGGTCAGTCCGGGTGGTCAGCTGGGATGAGGGCCCAAGGGGAGCGGGCAGAGGGGGATGAGGGCCCGAGGGGAGCAGTACCTCCTCGGAGACGGCCAGCAGGACCTTGTCCAGTGCCTCCACCAGCTGCTTGAAAGTAGGCCTCTGAGAGGGCGCTGCGTGCCAGCACTCTCGCATCAGCCCGTACCTGGCGGGGGCGGAGGCTCTGTGTCAGGGGCAGGGTTTCATGGGGGGCAGGTAGGGCCACTCAGCGGAAGGGCCCGGACACAAGGCTAGGACCTCCCCTTAGGGCTGAGGAGGGGATGGTGACAGTGAATTAGGAGGCTGGGCCTTAAGGCCAAGGCCAAAGGCCGAGGATAAGGACTGTAAGGTTGGGGAGAGGGGTGTGAGGCCTCACAGCTCTGGGGGGCAGTTCGGGGGCCGGTCCATCCGATGGCCCTCCCGCAGCAGTGAGAACAGCTCCTCCACGGGAATGCCGGGGTACGGGGAGCCCCCGAGGGTGAAGATCTCCCACAGCAGGATCCCAAACGACCACCTAGAGGCAGGACCAGGGCTCAGCAGGGCGCAGCTTTGCTCCCTACTCCTGGGGCTGGGATGGGGGACCTCGCAGGCCTGATCCACCACGGAGTCTGGCCCCACTCAGGTCCCAGGGTTGTGCGACCTTGGGCAATTGCGTTGCCCTTTTTGTGGGGTAGGACAATGATCGCTGGCAGATATTCCGGACCCCCAGCCTCCAGGACTCACACGTCACTCTGGTGTGTGTAGACTCGGTCAAATAAGGCCTCAGGTGCCATCCACTTGACAGGCAGGCGGCCCTGGATGGGAGAGGCAGGGGCATTGGCGCGAAGTCCCACAGGTCCTGGTACCCCCCAACCCCCTTTCCAACTCTGCCCCGCCTCCCTCACATTGCTGGTTTTCTTGTAGTAGTCAATGTGGTGGACACCACGGGCCAGCCCAAAGTCGGCAATCTTCATCACATTGTCCTCTGTCACCAGTACGTTCCGGGCAGCCAGGTCCCGGTGGATGCACTGGGGGTAGGGCAGGGGACTTAGGTTTATTAGGACACGTGGCTGGATGCTGGGCACACTGTACTTCACAGTAACCCTGAGGGGAGGCATCATCCACTCGTTTCACAGATGAAGAGGTCAAGATTCAGAGATGAGAGACTAAAGCTAACTTCAGGGCCCACACCCTCCTGCCCACATGGCCTCTTCCCTTGCCCCGTGAGTTAGGGCCTGCGAGAGGAAGGACTGCGGACATGCAGTGTCAACTGTGTACGGATGGGGGGGTACAGAAAGGCTTGGGGACATTGAGACAGGGCAATGGAAAAGGGGAGAGAGGGACAAGATGAGGACATTCAATGCTGGGGGCAGGACAGTGTACAGATGGAGCAGTGAGGATGCTGCCCACCACCCATACCTTCCTGGACTCTAGATAGTGCATGCCTCGGGCCACCTGGTAGGCGCAGGAAACCAGGGCAGGGAAGGAAAGCGGCCCCTCACTGCTCCTCGGCCCGTCAGGGCTGAGGTCGGGGCCTGGGGGCCGCCGGGCCCTCAGGAACTCCCGCAGGTTTCCCTTGGCGGCACACTCCACAATCACATACAGGGGCCCTGTAGAGGTGAAGGGAACAGGGAGGCTGCTGAGGCTACGGCTCCATACCCCACCGTCCCTGCCCTTAGCCCCTTCCAACCCACCTTCCTGAGTACAGACGCCCAGCAGATTGATAATGTTCTTGTGTCGGCCAATCAGCTTCATCACCTCCATCTCAGAGACCAGGTCTGCCAAGTCCTTGTCGGAGGCGTTGTCTGCAGGGATGACAGCCAGGGTATACACATGGAGCTGCAGGGTCACGGACAGGACATGGAGTGCTGGACCTGGAGTCACAAAGGTCTGGACCCGAATCCCCGCTAGGCTGTGTGGCCTTTAAAAAAGTCTTCTAACTTCTCTGAACCTCAGGATCCTCTTGTATCAAAGGGGACAATGGATCATGCCCTACCTCTCACAACAGTTGCAAGAAAACAACAAGATCAAGGGTCTACAAGAGGTGGGCCTCTCTGTGAGTGGGACCAGGAAACAGGAGAACTCTGAATAGGAAGAAGCTCTATCTGGAGGTTTGGCATTAGTTCCCGGATGGGGTGAGAGCTCCTGGGGGCGGGAAGCTGCCTGGCGCCCTGAGATGGGACTGGGGCCTGGTGTGCATCTGGCCTGAGAATTCAGGGAGCGTCCAGTGGGGTGCAGCTAGGGAAGGCTGGGAAGAAGCTGCTCCAGATTCTCTTGAGAAGGCTGAGGACCAGGGGCTGACCTGTGGCCCTGGGCCAATGACATACCCTCCCTGCCAGACCTTACAATGCACATTTCTCAATCCCTGCCTCCCAGAAAGTACCAGGTGGCCCCAGCTGTGCAGAGGGGAGGGGATTGGGGAGGAGAACAGTGGTTTGGGCTGCTCTTGTAGAGGGGGTGGGGGACAGCAGTGAGAGGCTCCGATGGTAGGTCCCAGGTATGTCCTATGCACTTTGGGGCTGGTGCTTGGACTGTTCTCCTAGACTGGTGGACACAGGAGGACAGATCTGGGAAGGGCCCAGGGTTGGGGGGCTGAAGGTGTGACTTGGGGGTACTCAGAAGGAATGAGGTGGAAGCCTATGAGGCTGACAAGGTTATTCAAGGCCAAGGCTGACATGGGGCTAGGGCTGAGGTGGGGGTGTCTGACCCCAGTCACCCCAAATCCTTAGTCATCATCATTCCAGTGGTTAAGATTTTACGTATCAGGCACTTTTCACAAACCTCAGGCCAGGAGGTAGGGACTATTATTTACTCCCAGGTGACAGGTGAGCGAATCAGCTTTGAAATGGCTTGCAAGGGTTGGTAGCAGAGTTGGGCCCTAGGCCCAAGGGTGGGATCCTATAGCCTTTCTGGCCACCAGTGTTCAATTGGTAGCACCATGAGCCTCTTCTGTTAGTCCCAAGGCCACAGCACGTCCCCTGGGGACACCACTCACCCTTGAGCATCTTGACAGCCACGGTGCTGGCTTGGTCAGGCCGGGTGGGGTCCATGCCGAAGGCCTCTGCCCGCACCACCTGCCCAAAGCAGCCCTCACCCAGCGGCTTCCCGAGCACTAGCCTGGAAATGAGAATGCCGGGGCCTCAGCCATGGGAACGTCCTTCCTACCTGGAGCCTGCACGCCCATCCTCTCTCCATGCAGCGTACCTGTCCCGGGGGAACTCCCACAGTGGGTCGAGAGGTAGGTCTAGACTCACAAGGCCAGCGAGCAAGGGAGGGCCACTGGAGGAGAGACGGACACCCCGCACCAAGGAGGAGCTTGACTTGGCCGAAGAACCCGACTCCAGGGAGAACTGTAAGGCGGGTGACTCGGTCAGCCTGCTAGAGCTGAGCTGGGCTGGGGAAGGCAGGCCAAGAGCTTCACTATGGGGACACGATAGTGGGTGGGGAGCAGCATGGTACCTGTCGGGCCAGAGGGAAGCGGGACAGCTTCTGCACGGTGGCGGGCTGCCTGGGGTGCCGGCTGATGAGTACCTGCCCTCGATACAGCCCGGCCAGCAGCAGGAAGACAACCAGAGCCAGAGAGCCTGACACGTACAGAATGATGTCCGTGTACCTGGCCTCTGGCGCCGCTGCTGTCCATGTGAGGTCCTCCTCTGCCCACAGACAGACACATATACAGGCAGAAAACGGATTGGTCAGTGGTTAGATGGCCAGCCCTAGATCCTCTAACTCAGGCCTCACAGCTCCCAACACACACCGGGACACTCACCAAGAAAGCTGCAGTTATATCCCGCCCTGCACACCCCTAACCCAGAGGGTCACATGGCAGTCGCATGTGGACATGCACAGAAGCACTGCCACTCGAGGAATCAAGCCCACAAATCCGCATGCTACGTCCCAAGCCCCACAGGCCAAGAGACACAGCCTGCTGCCGGGTCAGAACGGGATTCTTGCAGCCTCTCCTGGCCCCCTCGAGCGCTCACCTGGCAGCACCGTGAGCCAGGCTGACTGGTAGGAGAGGCCAATGGAATTGCCCGCCAGGCAGGTGTACTCGCCCGCATCCTCAGCTGACACGTTCCGAAGGTATAGGACCTCCACCTCTGAGCTATTGATGTCTGCTGTCTGGGGATAGGGGACATACTCAGGGGTCACAACAGGGCCAGGAAGGAAGTGGGGCACCACCCCCCACCTCCATGCCCCATGGGAGGACAGTAGGGTTCAGGGGCTGGTAGGGGCTGGACCTTCAGGACTTGCACGTAGGGGAAGCCGTCGGCCCCAAAACTGCTGCCATTGATGACGATGTGCTTCAGCCACTGGATGTGGGGCTGGGCATCGCTGTACACCTTGCAGAGCAGCTCGACATTGCTGCCGGCCACAGCTGTGGTGTTGGCCGGAAGCCCCGCCTGCAGGATGGGCCGGTGCGGGGACCGCTCTGGGGGCCGGGCCAGGCGGTCAACCCTGACCAGTGGCACCCACAGAAGCACCCTGGTCACCCGCCTCCAGCAACCCCCCCCCCCCGCCTCAGCTCAAGGGAGGGAACTTCCTGATATGCAACTCAGACCTTGTCCACCCCTGCTTACCCTGCTGAAACCTTCCATAGCTCCCCATTGCCTTTGGAGTCAAGGGCAACTTCATAGTCTAGCATTCAAAACCCTCCACACGCATGGCTCCCTGCTTAAATGCCACAACCCAGGCATACACCTCTTCACAAATGCATTGTATTCATTACACCTAGGACCTTGATTCAGCCTGGGCCCTCTGCCTGGATGTCTCTCCCACTTTTTCTCTCAGCTGACCCCTGTTCCTCCAGGCCAACATTACCCCCCATGCTTCCCTCCCACCCACGGGGACACCTAGGGCAGCTTGAGCCATCTAAGACTGAGTCCGTCTTGCCTGCCAGACTGGGCGCTACCTGAGGGCAGTGCCAGGGCTCCCACCCCCAGACCGCCTTGCCTGCCCGTCCGCTCACCCAGCACATCCAGCAGATAGCTATAGCGGATGCTGCCCATAGAGTTCTCCACGAGGCAAGTGTATGTGCCACGGTCCGAGGGCACCACACTTTCCATCACCAGGCTCCAGTGCTGGTGGCGCAGCTGGGGGCAGGGGAAGCATCTATGAGTGGCCATCCACCTGTGCCCACCCAGGAGTCCAGGGCAAGAAGAGGCTAGATCCTGCCCACAGGGTTCTTCTCAAGTTCTCCAGGCCCTGGGGAGGCCAGGCCAAGGCCAAGAAGTGTCTGAACCCTTGGTTTGAGCTTTTGAGTTTTAGCATGGCCTCTTCCCGGCTGTACCACCGTGAGCCAATTTTTGCCCTCTCGGAGTGTCAGCTTCCTCACTGCAACCTAGAGCTGACCCTGCAGGGTCTTCCCAGGAGAATTAGCTACTAAAACTCCATACCTGCCAGTCAGTGAGCCTTCCCACTTCACAAGGAAAGCTAAGGCTGAGAGATTAAGTCACTGGCGGGAGGGTAGCAGAGTGGGGACCTGAATCAGAGTTGTCCCAGTCCGCCGTCTAGTGCTCCTTCTAAGGCCGGAGGCTGCCTTCCTCATTAGAGAAGGAATGACTTCGAGGTCTGAGCAGACCATTGGGGGAGTGAAAATGGAGGAGCGGATGGTCTTAGAACCTAGAGACTCACCCGAATGCCTCCAATGCGATGCTCCCCATGGAAGTCCTGTCCATCCTTGAGCCAGCGGATGGTGGGCGTGGGGTTGCCTGCAGCTGGACAGCGGAACTTGACAGTGTTCCCGGCAGGCACTGCATGAAGTTTTTTCTCCATGCGCTGAGGGTGTGTCCAGTAGGGAGCTGGAGGGGAGGGGAAAGGAGAACTCAGTGCCCCCAGGATGACCACCTGTTTCCACACAGGTCTCTTCTTCTCAGTGACCAGCTGGGAGGTAGGGAACTGAGTCCCTGAGGACTCATACTGACCTTGCTGGGGGTAAATGTGCCCATTCAAGGGGCCCCCGTGGGCTTTAGGGTCCTCATTACCATTGCTGGAGGGCAAGGAGTCTATGTCAGGGACAAAGAGAGATGTCTGAGGTCTAGGATGGGGAGGGTCTCTCTCCCCAGGCACCCTTTAGCCCCTGGTAGGCCCCCTTACCATCTACAACCAAGGTAACATTGCGCAGGACAAGCATGGAGCCTCGTGCCAGGCAGAGGTAGCAGCCAGCATCCTCCGGTAGGGAGCTGGCGATCTCCAAGCGGCCCCTCCAGCCTCGTACCCGGCCAGCAGGCGGTAGGCGACTGCCTTCCTTGTACCAGTGGCCACCACGCTCAGCCCGGCCACAGCATAGCCGCACAGGCTGCCCAAGGGCCACGGTCAGCTCCGGCTCTCGCTGCTCCGGGCTGGGGGCCAGGCAGGGCTCTGTGGGCCAAGGGCAGAGGTCAGTGAGCCCCCCACAGCCCCAGCTGAGGGAGCCCCCTGCGTACAGAGAACATGCTGCACAGGCAGGGCACAAGCATCCCTCGACACATGCTGGACAGCTGCTCTTCAACATACACACATCATCACATGCTACAGACACTGTATGTGAGGCAATTGCCATGCCTCTGTGTGCATCACGCACACGGTGCAGAGCATACATGCTGGACTGGGCATGCCATTGCCACACACAAACACACACCCACCACATGCTATAGGTGCCACATCCAGGGCACATGCCACACCTCCAGGGCACAGCACACTCACGGTGCATACACCACACATGCTGCTGGGCCTCCCAAACCACACACCCGGTGCACAGAACACACACACACACACACACACACACACACACACACACACGCGCGGCCAGGAGCTCACCACCAGCTCTGCAGCCCAGCTCAGGACCCTTCACCCTGCAAGGCCATTCCTCTCTTGTGGACATAGAGATAGGTGGACGCTTGCTGGGAGCCAGACACTGAGTCTCAATGGTTGAGCCCTGCCCTGCTGTCACCTCCTCAGGGACTGGGCCAGGTCCTTTCCAGTTTTGCTTAGCTAGTAGCCCCCTCCAGGTTGCCCTCCCCTGCCACCCTCTCCCACCTTAAAGGCCATACCTAGCTCCATTTCCTCAGAGGCTTCAAGGGACAAAGCTGGAGCCCCAGGCACCTCCACCAGGACCCCCAGCAGGGCCAACAGCAGCCACATATCCTCTCTGCTGCTCACAAGGACCCAGGCTGGGCTTACCACCAACTGCCTTCCTGCAAAGGAGGGAGAAGAACTCCTGCTGGGCATGCACCTTTGGTGGTGCTATTCCCCTATTTTGCAGATGAAGAAACTGAGACCAGAAGTGGTCAGAGGACTTGTCCAACACCCCCCCCCCCCGCCCACACAGCAGCATGGCAGAGACTGGAAGAGGCTCTGCCGTTGCCAGAGCCCAAAGCTTCTTCACAGTACGTTGTGCAGGGGGGCAGGGCCGGGCTTCCTGCTCTCCTCTGGTCCTGCTGAGACCCTGGCACAAGTTCACAGAAAGGGCAGTTTGGGGATTCTTTCTTTGGAGGAAAGCAGAGAACGGAGACATATCTTCTGCTCGCTCTCAGCACACATAATTTATTTTTTGCTGAATAAATGAATTTATTGCTGAAGAACCCAAAAAAAAAAATCTAATACAAGGCCAAACTTCAGCATCTGGATGTTATCTGAGCTGACCCACACTTCTTCTAGCATTGCTGACATTTTCATGGCCAGCTTTGAATACCTTCAGTGGCAGGGCACTCACTCCTAACAAAGCAGCACATTCCATGGTGAGCAGAAGTTCTTCCTCATTCTGAACCAGAATGGCATGCTGGGAATACATCTGCTTTTTGTGTCCTCACAACTCTGTTTGAGGCAACGGGCTCTATGTCCAACAAAGCCAAGTTCTAATCCTGACTCTTACCAACTTGCAAGTCCCTGTCCCTCTCTGGGTGCTGTCCTCCAAGGGCTGCTTTGAGGATAAAAGAGACCATATATGTAGGGGTTGGGAACACAGAATGTTGGCATGTTCTTCCCCTCCCTCCCCGTGACTCTCACCCTGGGTCTGCCTTTGGCCAATTACCTCTGATTCTGGTGCGGTTCCTGTCAGGTATGATGTACACACCCACCCTATCCATATGCCAACAAGGATGTCTCCATCTCTCAAAAGAACACTCAAAACAGCCTCAGCTGGGGCAGGGGAAGAGGAGACCAACGTAGTCCCAGGGGACTACTGGCTATTACCTGGGGCTTCATAAGTCAGGAGGCACTGGTGTCTATGAATCTATCTTGCCCAGGAAGCTCACTGCACCCTCTCTCTTCAGCCACTGCCCCCTTCCAGCTCTGGCTGAGGCAGGGGGCACTTAGCTTGTCCTGACCAAAACCATCACCTCCCCCATCCAACTGTTCCTTCCCTGCGTTGCCCCCGCAGCTGGGGCATCATCTCTTCCCATCTGCCTTCACCCCTCCTCTACTTCCAGTCCCATCTGCCTCCTCAATCCTTCTCCAGTCCATCTCACCTCCCTTGCTTGGACCCAAGGCAGGCCATGGTCATCTCTAGCTTGGGCCTTTGCAAACATCTCCCTTGGCTCTCTAGCCTCCACTCTCCAGCAGGGCTTTAGAAATTACAAGTATCTGCCATGTCACCACCCCATATCCCCAGCTTTCAAGCCCTTAATGGCTGCCCATGTCCAGCAGGGTCCAATCCACAGTTCATCCAGCATTCTAGGCCTCCCTCCCTGCCCTTGTCAATATCTTTAGTTGCACAGTCTGCTCCTTCAACCTCTTCAGCAGGAAAGCCATTGGCTTTCAAAACTGGGCATGTCTTCTCTCTTGCACATACATACCTCTGTGTCCCCATTTCTCTTCTCCACCCGACTCAGATGCCACTGTCCCTGCACTCACCCCCAGTTTCCATGGCCCTCTTCCATAGAATCCCCCTACCCTGCTCTGCTCTGCAGGGAGAATAGCCCTCTGGGTCCACAGCTCCAGTTGGGAGAGGGGCCGAGGCCTGGGGATTTTATTCCCATTCCTAGGCTGCCCCGACCTTGTTAACCTCAGGACCCTTCCTCGGATCACACGCGGCCGCAGACAGACCGACCCACCGCCTTGCTCAGAGGCTGATGGGCCTGCCTTTGGCATCAGACAGTCCTGGGTTCTCCTCCAACCTCCCGGACTCAAGCGTTGGGGGACCCTGGGCAAAGGACCGCACCTCTCGGATCCTCAGCTTCCTCATCTCTACTCCGGGCGCGCAGACGGTCCAGCAGCCGAGGGACCAGCGCGCTTTTCTTCCTCCACCCTTACCCTGCCACCCTGGGGGGAGGTGCGAGTCGGCAAGTCCAGAGGGGGAGCTGCAAAGACAGCCGGCCCGCCCCCGTCCGGTGGGCAATGAGTAACCAGCTCCACGGCCAGGGTGCTCTTTGGACGGAGCGGGACAAAAGGCCCTGTGTGCGCTGCGGGTTACTGATTTACCGTCTCCTCCACCCCCCTTCCGAGAGGACGCCCAGGTCCCCAGTGCTAGGAGGGGGCAGCTCCCTGAGCCCAGCTGCCGCTCGCCCTCTGGCGGCGGGGAGCGCAGCCTGGGCCTGCAAGGGATCGCGGCTCACCTCGAGCCTCTGTGCTCCCGCTCCAGGCACAGGGTCCCGGCTCACCTGGGTCCTCCGCGGCCCTGCTCCCAGCTCCGGCCAGTGCCGACACCCGCGCCCAGCGGGGACCGCAGACTCAGCCGGGGCGCTCCTCCGCCCCGGGCCAGAGAGCCAGGAATGCACCCGCGACAGCGGGGTGGCCGCGGGAGGCCCAGCGCCCCGCCCCCCTCGGGCCCCGCCCCTCCTGGACCAGCTCTATCCTGACAGCGGCTTGGCTGGGGACAACCCAGCGCCCCGCCCACCCCCGGCCCGGCCCCTCCTGGACCAGGTCTACCAAGACAACCACGACGCGGCGAGTAGCACAGCGTCCCGCCCACCTGGGGACCAGTCCCCAGACCCAACAGAGCCGAGTGTCCCACTGGGTCAGCCCAATCCCGGGGCCCCGCCCCGGCCTGCCATCAGACTCCGCCTCTTTTGCCGCACCCAGACCAGGCTTCCAAGTTTTAGTTATTTGCGTTATCCTGTGCTCTTCACCCCTTTTAGGGAGCAACGCCCAACAGTCCTGACCGGCCAGCCTCCACAAACCTTGGCCTAACCTGGCTACTCTGTCTTCTGTCACCATACAGTGGCTAGGAGATTCCCCTCTGCCTCCAACCGCACCCATCCGTTCTCAGCACAACCTTTAGAGTGATATTTGAAATACAAATCTGGGGGCGCCTGGCTGGCTCAGTTGTTGGAGCATGCCACTCTTGATTTTGGGGTTGTGAGATTGAACCCCACGTTGGGTGTAGAGATTACTTAAAAATAAAATCTTTTTTAAAAAAAGATTTTATTTATTTGAGGGGGGAGGGGCAGAGGGAGAGGGACAAGCAGACTCCTCGCTGAGCAGGGAGCCCAAGGTCCGGCTGGATCCAGGGACCCTGAGATCATGACCTGAGCCAAGTCAGCCACTTAACCAACTGAGCCACTCAGGCGCCTCTTAAAAATAAAATCTAAAAAAAAAAAAAAAAAAAAGGAAAGAAAGAAAGAAAAGAAAGGAAAAGAAAAGGAAAGGAAATAAATACAAATCTGATGCTTTAAAACTTTCCACTAGCTTCCCATAATGATTCTTGGCATGACCTGGCCCCTGGCCACATCTCCAGACAAATCCTTCATTTCTTTCCTTGGTCCCACTCTATCTCTGGGCCTTTGCACATATGATTCCCTCTTCCTGGAATGATTTTCCCCTCCAGGTCTGGTTGGTTCCATCTCATTCTTAGATGTCAGAGCACTTCCTCAGAGAAGCCCTCTGGACCTGCCAGGTTCCTCTTAGATGCCTTCTGTCCTGTGAGCATGGAGAAAGAAGCAGGAAGTGAAGTGATTCAAAGCACAGATTTCAGGACTCAAATCTCAACGCCATCACACTTGGAGTAACCTTGGCAGGTTAGTCCATCTCTGTGTTTTCATTTTCTCATCAGTAAAGTAAGTATAATGATAGTATCTTCCTCATGAAGTTTTTGCAAAGAGTAAACACGTGTAAGCCTGTAGAACACTGCCGGGTATATGACACTTGCTTTGTAATGTTAACTATGATTATTTAGGACCTGTTATTTCTTCATCTTCATGGAACATTCCAGAACTGTAACTAAACAGTTGTGTACATAGAAGGCAGGAACTGCCTACAGACTTCAACATTGTATCCCAAGTGCCTGGCACACAGTAGGTACCCCCAAATAGTTCTGCCCCACCTTGCTCAGGTCTGCCTCACTTGCAAGCATCTCTCCCCTTGAGCAACTAGACAGTGGCCGAACTAGGAGGGCAGCTGAACTTTGACCTCTGCCCGAGCCACACCTGAAGTCTAAGCCCTCCACTCCGGTTGGCTTCTTGAGGAGAAAGGAAACCCCTAAGCTGGGGTCTCAGACTCATCTCCCCGTGACCCTCTGGCTGGTGGAAACCCTGCCCTAAGGGAAGCAGTTTCCTTTCCCATTGTTATGCAGAGGAGTCTAGCCTTCTCCACCCTTACTCCCTACGGGATAGAGGCTTTTCCTTTGCATAACTAAAAAGCCCAATAAAGTGATTTTTTTTCCTTCTCAAACAAAATAATGGTCTCCTCCCAAAGATAAATCAAAAAATAATTGGCTATCTTTTAAAACCAGCTGGTTCTGATTCCCCGTATTCACGGTCCTTCCTTGCTGGAGCACCTGGAAATGTTGAGGCTCCTGGCACTGGGGGAGCCCAGCAAATGGAAGCCTCCAGCACAAAGAAGCCTCACCGGACCTCCTGGACTCCTGGAGAGATCCAGCTCCCCACCTCTGGTCCTCTGCTGGCTCCTCTTAGTGAAGGTGGTTGTTGGGGGGTAGGGTGAGCTGCCAGCAGGGGCTGGACCCCACACAGCTTTCATTCAACTTCCAGGCACTTCTCAGGTTTACCTGAGCCAAAGGCAAAGGAAAGGCTTTCATAGCCCAGGCTGCGCAACCTCCCTGCCTCCTGAGATGCCCAAATTCCTTAGACTGGCAACCATATACTTCCCACCCCCCCAAGTCTGCACATCCCTTGTCCACCTCCCATCCCACACTCATGACCTCTCACACTGACCCTCTGTGGCATCTGATGCTCTTTCACGTTATTCATTCATATACACATTCATTTGCCAGGTGTCAATTAACGGTTCATTATGTGGTATGCACCGTTCTAAATAGTGGGGATAAAGCAGTAATCTGACCCAGCCCCTCCCCTTCAAGGAGCCGCTGACATTGTAGTGGGGAGAGATGGGAAAGTAAACAGAACACAGAAGGAGACATGCTGAGGAAGTCTGCAAGAGGCATCCAAGCCTGTCTCCCCATCATGGTCTCACTCTCTTGGTAACAATCTTCCACCAGTTACATTCGCAGTCTCTCTCAAAACCTTTCAAACATGACCTCTCTCCACTCTCTCCCTCTCTCTCTTTCACATACACACACACACACACACACACACACACACACACACACACACACACACCCCTAGCAGGGGCTCAGGAACCTGCCATCCTAAGATCCTGCCTTTAGCCTGCCTCTGCCTCAGTTTCTCTATCCAGAAAATGGGCACACTCCTGCTTCCTTTTCCCCAGGGATGTTGGAGGAAGTGAATGAGTTAAGAGATGGGAAAGGGTTTCAGCAGAACAGGAAGCAGGGAGGAAGTTCTTGCCTTGGCTGAGCTCCCACTGTCTGCCAAGTGACATGCTAAGCTAGGTGTTACATATGCATTATATCCTTTGATCCTCCCCCCAAACCAAATATGGTTAGAATCCTTAGCTCCATTTTGCAGGTAAGGAAACAGAAGCTCAGGCAGATGGAATGACTTGTCTAAAGTCATGTAGCAGGGCGATTGACTGGCTTAGTCAGTAGAACATGTAACTCTTGATCTCAGGGTCATGAGTTCAAGCCGCACGTTGGGCATAGAGCTTACTTAAAAAAATAGTGAAAAAATAAAGTCACAGGACTGAGCCTTGAGCCCTGATCTTCTGGGACAAAGAGGGAGAGCTCAGGGTGACTCTCCACAGAGTTGGGATTTTTAGTATATGTGCTGCCGAAGTGAGCACCAGAGTTGGGATTTTTGATGCTACTGCATCAGCCTGTTTTCTACCCCCATCCTTAACTTTAGTCCAGGAAGGTGCATACTCACCCAAAGGTGAGGCACTGGGCACTGCTCTCCCTGCCCATTTGGCTAGTACTGATGGGGCACCTATGAAGTAGCAGGCCCTAGGCAGAGGGTTGCAGGCTCTGGGCTCCCGAAGTGCAAGTCTGGGACAGGAGGGACTCCTGAGGCCAGGCCCTGCCCCCCACCTGCCTGAGAGCAGAGTTGGGGGGAGGGGGCAGACGTTGCCTGGTGCCGACCATGTTGCTCTTGGATGGCAGCCGGGCCCAGGGAACACTGGGGCTCTTGTGCGGAACGGCTGCCCTGAGCCCCTGCCCAGGCCCCATTCCAGCCTAGGCCTGGCCCAAGCCCTGGCCTCTGAGCCAGCCCTGTGCTTTCTTGTCTTCTTTCCTTCAAAATGATTTTTATTTTGAGAAAGTTTTAAAATATATATTAAAAAATGCACAGGGTAATATCATATACTTGCTACTCAGAATTGACAATTGTTATTACTTTTTCACCTTTCTAACCCCTTTCACCCTGGCTTCTCTCACAGACTCCAAGGAGGTCTGGCTTGGCTTGTCAACACGGAGGTGACACTGATAGCAAGTCAGTGGTGAAAGGTTGGGTGTTAGAGCCAGAAAGATAAAGGTTTGAATCCTAAAAACTTGGGACCTTCGACAAGTCACTTAACGTTAAGCCTCAGTTTCATTTTCTGTAAAATGGGAATAATAGCTTTTCTGGGAGGACTCAGTGTAATGATGTATTGGAGCCCAGTGCCAATGCCTGGCACATAGCCCATGCTCAGGAAAAAGTGGCCAATATTAATAATAGCAGCTGTGGGTCTAGGTGAGACCTACCCAAATGTATGAGTAACACATTTTTAAAAAAATTTTTTTATTGTTATGTTAATCACCATACATTACATCATTAGTTTTTGATGTAGTGTTCCATGATTCATTGTTCGTGCATAACACCCAGTGCTCCACGCAGAACGTGCCCTCTTTAAGAGTAACACACTTTTGTGACCAAGAGGGAGGACTGTTAGGGTCACCCCTGTCCCAACCCTTATATCTCCTCATTCCCCACCCACTGGGCAGCTTTAAGTCCAATTTCTACCTGGGGAAAACAAAGCTATGAACTGCCGGCTGCCAGGGCATCATGGTGGAGGCAGGGAGCCTGGTGCTGATGTTGGCAGCCTGGGACAAGATGAAGCCAGACAGAGGGGGATGGGCTAGGAGGAATCCAAGGTTCTCTTTGGGAGAGTCCTGGTGCTTCCCAGAGTCTCAGCAGCACCCTTGGCCCTCTTGTCTGCTGGTCCCAGACGCTGTGGACCCATGACTTGGGAGACTTTCAGGGTTTTCCAGACTCAGCTCTCTCTAGACTTGGGCCTACAAACCTCACACCTACTGGGGCTTGGCATGCATATATTTTTGGAGGAGAGAGGGGGCCAGGACAGCTGTGAGGTGGCAGAAGCTGGGCAGGAAAGGTTATAGGGCTGGTAGTCTGCATCAGGAAAGAAGCCTC